ATAATAATTCTAGCAATAAAAGTAATAATAATCACAATAATAATGATAAAAAAAAACTTTACCAGTTCTTTGGGTGATTACATCTAGACACAGAGAAGAGTAATATCTCAAACAAAATAAAAAACCTGACATAAAGATCGCTCCCATAACTCATTCACTTTTGTGATTCTGCCCTCCAAGACTAGACCACAAAACAAAAACGTTAAGAATAAAAAACAGAGGTACATGATGGCCATACAAAATATTGTAACTCAATGAGATGCAACATCTTAACGGTTAATCGTCAGTCAGCGTTCCTTAAATATTGCGTGTCTGTGCTGCGACTCTGTTACGCCTTTGCTGCTCCTGTTGCCGCCTGCTGCTGCTGATGGCCGCCAGTTGCTGGTCTACCTTCACCTCCATGATGTCCATCACAACTGCAAAGGAGGAGGTTCCATCGTCAAAACATTTTCCATCTTCATTAACCTCTTTTGAAGAAGACTGGTACCAAAATATCAATAGGCCATTAAGCCTAAATCTTCAGTAATCTGTCTACATTAAGGATGATTAATATTAACCCACTGGGTTGGATGACCATTATGTCAAAGTGAATATGCTATCAGGAATTTTTTTTTACTAAGGGCCGAGCTGACGGAAAGATCATCATAAGTGCGCAAAGTTCTTGGAGAAGATAAAACTCAAAGGCATTTTAGGAAGGGGTTCTTCTATTCTTTACATTGGTAAATGACTGGAATGTTCTATTTGTGGGCCATGACTGGGAGAGTGCCAATTCCAGGGAGGCCACTTATTTCCATGCTCAGGACCTTATTCCTGCCTGCCATGACCAGCTGCAGGAAATCACGTATTACAAAAATATATAAAATATATTTTCATACAAATATTATAATGTCAAATATAGTTATTATTACTGAACAGAGTCAAAGACTACCTATTGAGATACTATGGAGTCTGCTCAACAAAAATAGTCTATTACCATAACAATGACAAATACAGACCTCGGGGAATAGCAAAAAAACAAACAATGCATATGCAGAAAAAGAGATGAAAACATTGCAAAGGGGAGGCAAGGATTCTTAAATTTGCACATGAGTATTCCCATAGGCCTGGCCTATAAGCCACACCCATAGGAGAGCTGCTCTCCAGCTGGCCAAATGCCCAGATTTTGGTCCACATGCAGGTTGCAATGCACACGAATCCTACAGATTAAGGTGATGATATGTTTGTTTTTTTGTTTTCTTTTGCCGATTTTGATGAAGAAACCCTTTTATTTAGACATAGAAGATCCCTGAGGTCTATTTTTATCAATAGTTATAGTAAAAATTTAAAAATGCCTAATCATCAATTTCAATATTGACAATTCTTCAAAAAGCAGATAAAATTGAGAAAAAAATCACACAGGCATTCTGAGGTTATCTTTATACAGATTTATCCTTAATCTATTGTGTGATCAGAATTTTGTGTTTGATTTTTTGTGAATATTTGAAATAAATGGTTTTCGGGGAAGAAAGTTATATATTTTTTTTACAAATATGTCCTTTTACTAGAAGCACACAGAAAAATGCAGAAACAAAAAGGAACAAGCACAAGATTTATTATTAGCAAGAAAATGAGCCATAAAATGTTTATTTCGGACTAAAATTGAGTGTGCTATAGCTTTCAAAGCCTACAAGGGCAAAGTTTTGAAATATCGAGTTGAATTTTTCATATATTTTCAAGATTACTGTGGTATCAACCAAATAAGGTATAAAAATCATTTTCCTATAACAATCCTCTATCATTTACAAAAATGGCAAAACAACAAAAATACGTCTGCAGAAAGTGACAAATGACTCTGCAAAGAGGAGCAATTCATTTCCTTTCACTAATTGTAAATCTAAGATATGGAATGAAAACTTACTATGCTACACATTTATCGTGTATAATGGGATTGTCTATCATTGTATCAACACAGTACAGCATTTATGACATTCATTAACCCTATGATCCAGATGACCTGACCATCAAGTCACGAAAAAACCTGGCTGCAGGCTAAGGTGACGTGAACTGCCATCGTGAGTATTTCATCTGAAGGCCAGGGTGATGGGCAGGACTCACCACCAGTACACAAAGCTCTTGCAAGCTGATTAGACTCAATTTGCATTTAGTAAGGAGCTTTTTGCATTATTTCCATCAATGAATGTGTGGAATGTACTGCTGAGGACACTCTATGCTCAGGATCCTATTCCTGGCTTACCATGACCAGCGGAACAGGGTGTATTATAGAAAATTGAATATTACGAAATAAAAATTACACAAATAAAAAAATGTTACTTAGTGCTATTACTCTTGCACTGTTATGTACTACCTACAGAGATGATATGGAGCCTGTACAAGGAGAACAGTCTATTGCATGATAAAGCAAATCAAATGACAATTATGAATATAGGAAAATGGCAAAAAAAAGCTAAAAAACACTGCTGCATAAAAGAGAAAATAACATTGCAAAGGGAAGGAACAGTCTTGTCACTCAAACAATTTTTCACATGCACTTGGCCTTCAGGTCATACACCTGTCAGAGTTACCGCTCATGTGAGCCTAATGCCAATATTTTGAGCCACGAGATGGCAATGAAGCATCTGGATCCAATGGGTTAAGAATCCTCATATAGCAGAGCTCATTAACCTGAAAGTAAAGTGAGTACTCTCTACTAACCTTCTCTCAATTTGCTTTTTTCTGCGGCAATCTTCTGAATCTTCTCCATCTGCTCTGTGACGAATTTGACCTTCCTGGTGAAATAGTCCTTTGCTCCAGGGACATCCTAGGAGGAAATGGAAGTTATTGTAGTTATATTGTTACATATGTAACTTCTATTTCTGCTACTGCTCAAGTAATTCTACTACTACTACTACATCTGCTACTATTACTACATCTACTACTACTTTTACTTCTAATACTACCATTTAAATAAAAAAATGTTTTATAACAATAATCAACAATGATATCAATAAAAACAAAGATATCAATCACTCTGAAAGAACAATGCTTAATCTTTCTCAGTTTATCAAGGCTCCACTACAAGGGTTGACCAACTTTAAACTTTCCTGATAACATCCTAAAAAGACATAAACAAAGGTTTTCCCACCCGAAACACCTCCTTACTGCCTGATGAGATATTTGTTCATGAATCAACCTACTCCATCCACAGCTAAGACATAAGTGGTAATTTTGAGAAGATAAGTTTGAATATAACGTATTTGCTAAACATGATCACTGAACAAGCCAATTAACATCTCAAGCTGTACTAAGAAGTATATGATGACTTCAACCTGATAATTGTGTTTGTATTCTTTTTCCTGGTGGACCAATGAGCTAATAAGCTAGGTCTAAATGGAAATTATTTTCATTTCTGGAACCCCGTTGCCATGTGCGATTTTGCCGACTGGTTAGGTTATTTCCATATTCTACTTGGGCCTTTCTTCTATGGTTGATCCTTCTCAATTCAAATAGCCCTTTCTTTGTTAATTTCTTGGCACATAATCCAGTAGGTCAGATCTATTTCTATTTACCTAAATCGAAGAAAAAAAGGTAAAGATAGCATCTCTACGAGAAAAAATTGAACCTAGACCAAATTCCAGAAGTCCACTTACCCGTTCCACGTAGTATCCTGTTCCGATGTCGATGAGCAGCTTTTCCGCATCAGCGATTGTCCCAGGAACGTACATACAGCTGGTCAGAGGAACGAGGACCTCCTTGCCCTTAACTTCGGGTGTGACCTGAAATACCAAGGGCATGTTCTCTTTTTAAAAACAAATAGTGAGTGGGTAGGTAGGTGAGTGAGTGAGTGTGTGAGTGACTGTACAAGTGAGTGAGTGTATGAGTGAGTGAGAGAATATATGAGAGAAGAAGAAAGAGAGAGAGAGAGAGAGAGAGAGAGAGAGAGAGAGAGAGAGAGAGAGAGAAGAGAGAGAGAGAGAGAGAGAGGAGAGAGAAGAGAGAGAGAGAGAGTGTGTGTGTGTGTGTGTGTGTGTTGTGTGTGTGTGTGTTGTGTGTGTGTGTGGTGTGTGTGTGTGTGTGTGTATGTATAATATATGGGGTATGGGGCTATGGGGCTGTTTTATTTATCTGAATACAAACTAACTGAATGGAAATTACCAACATTAAAAGATTGGGGAAAAAAATAGTTCCACTGGGAACAAATGACCTCTTAATAACACATGATTCTACAACAAAACAAATATCTTCCTTACATTTACTAAGCCCTCATGCAAGTGCACTTGAAGTACTTTACCTTATCGACACATTCTCCAGACTTCATTGAATTTTAGTTGGGCTATTTTCAGCTGCTGTAATGACTCATTGAAGAACTGCAATTCTGCAAAGAAACAAGGATTCACTTGTTACATTCCTTCAATGATCTCTCAAAAATCTTAAAGTCTGTTTACCACTTGCTACGTCAATCTCAAAATATTTTCAAATCTACTCAAATGAAAAAGGTGCCTCATCGTGTAAGAGGTATGAATGAGAGTGAATGTTTTCAAAAGCAAGAGCCATGTTTTACAACTTACACCGGGTGATATCAGATCACGTCGTGGCAAAAACTTCACTCACACCAGATAATGTCTAATTACATCATAAATCATCAACCACTTTTGAAAAGTTGTTTAAGATATGCAACGTAAATATGGAGGGGAAAAAAAATCCCTGACTTCTGAGACTGTAACAATGTCACCGGCAGTCAATTTGGACCAGAACGTCAAGAAAGAAATGAACTGGACTGAGTAATAATGATTGGTTATGGCATCATCACCTACATGTGCCAAGACAGTTCATGTAGGGTTACTAGGTAGTTAAATTTGATCACTGCGAAGTAGTGTAAGGCTGCTGATAGTCATGGGAGGGTGTGGCAGTTGTATAGGTTCATTGATTTTTTCATATTGGTTGATGTTACGGATTAACTCTAACATCGATGAATTCAGTTTTCTATTGCCTTCCAGAATATAACTCTAAGATTTTCACTGTCA